GCTGGGCCTCCTAAATGGCCTCTCAGAGACTATACCAGGCACTGTTCCAGGCACTTCACATATATTAACTCATTTACTCCCATTATACAGATGAGAAAACTGAGACACCAAGACGTTAAGGTACTTGTCGAAGGCTCTACGTTGGCAAGTTACAAGGGCACAGCTGGGATTTCACACCAGGCACATTCTGGCTCCCCAGCCCATGTTCATAACCGCCTCCCAGGTGGCCTCCCCAGCCCCTTGACATGGCTCATGGGCCCCCGCTGGGACCATGCTGCTCATGGCCGTTCCAGCACACCCTCAGATGGCTTCCCACTGCCCTGGACTTGAGACCTGGCTCATCTCAGCCCCTCCCTCCCCGGCTCCTCACCTGCTGGCCGCACCAGCTCTCGGACAGGCCACGTTCTCTCCCACCTTCCAGCGTCACCTCTACCAACCCCTCTAACTGGTGGGCCTCAGTTTTGCATTTTCTCAGAATCTTCTGGTCCCTCTCTGCATGGCACTTGACCAGAGAAGCCTTCTCTAAGCAGCGTAGGAGGACTTTTCTCCCAGTTATTCTTGAACACAGACCCCCATTTGTCACCTCCATGGACCATGTCAAACAACCTGCGATTTCCTGTTGGCAGTCCTCCCACCTGCGCCCCGCCCCCCATACCGGAAGCACCACGGAGCTGAGACCAAGTCTGTCATCAGCTCCCTATCACATCCCAGCTCCCAGCACAGTGCCTGGCATACAGCAGGTGCTCAACATGTAGCTGAACGAGTAGATGGGTTTTGCTGAATGGTTCTCATGAATAGATTTAGAAAATCCGAATACAAGATGAGGTGTGGGAAGCACAAGTTATGGGTACAACGTGCACATGTCAAGTGCCCACGTGGAAAAGGCTGGGAAGGAATCCAGAAGTTTCCTGAGGATGCCTGGTTATCTACTTAGGATATTTAGATAATGGGGGAATTTCTCCTGTGATTGGCCGTATTTTCTAGAAACAGGTAAGACTCCTTTCAGAAGGCTTTGATGTCAATCCTGGCAGGAACCTGGCTTCTCCTCACAGCCTGCTTGTCCTCAGGGCACTCCCGGGGACTGTCGGTCAGTAGGCCCATGAGGGAACATACGGGAGAGCGCCCTGCCTGGGCAGGGGTGTACCACCCTTCGTCTGGTCTCAAGTAGCCAGTGCGGTCTTCTTACCCCTCAAAACAGTGCCATCACACAAATGATGAACTGGTTTAAATATGTCAGGATACGCTCCTCCAAACATTGTTAGAGCAAAAAATGCCCACCCCTTGGAGCCCTGAAGTATGAGTTCTACACCACTGTTTCAGCAGCTGCACCAGGGGAAACAGCCGGCTCTCACCTCCCCTCTCCCTCGAGCACCTGCTGTGCACCAAGCGTGGCACCACGTGCTTCACCAACGTGATCACATCTGATTTTCAATGGTTCTCCCTGCACGTCTTTTAGAACCATTTTAAAGGCCAGGCCACTGAGCCTCAGGAACATTAAGACCCTGAGCAAGGTGTCAAGGCCGACGACCTCCAACTACACCAGGGAAGGCCAAGGCGGATGTCAGTGCGGCCGGCCAGCCCGCCCACCTGTCCCCGCTCCACCCAGAGCCACAGGTGGGCCGGGGAAGCTCATGATCTGTAATGGTGGTGACCCATTCAGTGCCAAAGAGCAGCCCCAAGTCCTCCTCTGTGAGAGAGAAGTATTTATAGATGCAATGGTATGATGTCTTCCATTGGCTTTACTACACTCGGGGAGGGTGGAGGTGAGGGGAGGTAACTTTGAAAAGAGAAATGGTGGAGCAGATGGAATGAGACGTAGTGAAAGAGTAATAACCTTTGAAGCGCAGGCGGGGTATGTGGAGATTCATGGTGCCATTCTCTCTAAAAGTCTCATCTATTTTATCTAGTCAAGCTAGCCTTCCCTTCCCATCCCCCTTCCCTCCAGGCTGCCAGTCCCTGACCTGGGCCCCACGCCACTCTCCTCTCCAGCAGAAACAACACAGGCTCAAGCACAGTCAGCTCTGCCTCTTTCTGCAGGGGGCGATGGCCTCCACCATGCTCCTTGTCCAGAGCCCCCATGTCAGAGCTCACCGGGCACACCTGCCCAGAGGCCTGCGGCTGGTCAGCAGACACGTGATGTGGCTTCTGTGTACTCTTAGGCCGTGGTTTCTTATCAGAGTGCGACAAGGTCAGTAAACACACTTTAAGCCGCCTCTTCCTGTGGTGTGGGGCTGGCGTGCCTTTGAGCCTGTCCGCCTGGATCACATCACCTTCCATGGAAGTTGACCAGCCCCCAGCATTTCTCCCTGAGTCAGCTTTCTTCAAATCACGGCGCTCACGAGAAGCATGCCCAGCTTCCAATCATTCGGCAAATATGAATGCCTTTGCCTACATTATGATGTTGCCTACATTTTATATACGTAGAAGGCATTTTGTGACATGCGAAGCATACTGATTTTTCCCCACTGGAAGGTCAGATGCTCCTGCATTTAAGAATAATCACCGGGAGAAATACAAAGAAAAAAGGACACAAAGTCCAACAACAACACATGCTATCTTATTCTAGTACCATGTGCTCATAAAATCCGTAATTCCTAGTATTTTCTGGATGGCACTCTCTTTAGCAAAGACATAATTTGTGACCAGGCTGGGTAAAGACAGACAGCCGTTACTTTCTTAATGGCCAACTACCCAAAAAGGCTCCAGTTAAGTGATCTCAACTAGCAATCTAATCAATTAAAATTGGTAAGTGAAATACTTTTAACCTTTATTTCAGCAGGCCATTCCTGGGGGTGGGGGTGGGGGGAGAAGGAAGGAATGTGAATTCCCAGCATAAAATTTAATTCCATTTCATGGATGCAAACATTCTTGCTGCCCTGATGGAGTGGTCCCTTTGAAAGCAAGCTATTTCCCTCTTCCCTTGAATCAAATCAGAGAAAGACTGGTTTATGGTTCTCTGCAGCCAACTCAATCAATTTAAACCCTTAGAAAAATCCCTATGGCAATTTCTCAAGGAGACAAGGACCAAAGGAGATGACCACAGAGCAGCCCAAAGGGGACTTAGCTTCCTTGTTCTTCCAAGAGGGAGAAGAAAAAAAGAGATTAAGAAGAGGAAAAGAAGAAGTTAGGTGCACTGCCTGGGTGCCTCAGTCCGTTAAGCATCCAACTCTTGGTTTTGGCTCAGGTCAGTCTCAGGGTCGTGAGATCGAGCCCCAAGTTGGGCTCTGTGCTCAGCAGGGAATCTGCTTGAGATTCTCTTTCTCTGCCCCTCTCTCTCAAATAAATAAATAAATAAATCCTAAAAAAAAAGTTAGACAAGCAGGTAAAACCCATAATAATCACAGAGAACCTTTTATTCAGGCAGCGTGCTCTGCTCTTTATATGCATCACCTGCTTTAATTAGCAGGTAACACTACAGTTCCTTGAGCACAGTTATATGCTAGACACTATGCTCTGTCATATGGTATTTCATATTATATTTCGCTCAAGTCTCAAAACAAGTCCATCATATAAGGAAGTCATCCCCAGTTTCTAGGTGAGGAAACGGAAGTTGAAGGGGTTTCAATCATTTGCTCCGGGGAATTCACAGCAGGACAGGGCGTGTCAAATGGATCAAATGCCAACCCTCATGGTCTACATCATGATCGCTGGTCACACAGCTGAGCACTTCTGTCAAAACTCATCCAACGGTACACTAAAACTTGCTGAATTTTATCAGATATAAACTGTATTTCAATAAAGCTGAGTTAAAACAGCGGGGATCCTGTCCTTACCATGGGCCATAAAGAGTGGCCATCTGCCACTCCTGCCTGCTCAGCTTCCATCTCGTTGTGAGTTTCCTTTGAGGGCAACCTCCCTCCTTCCTCTCAGGTGATGGAGTTGAAAAGAAATGGGCCCCACCTCCCAGCTTAGGGTTCACCACATGACCCTGGCCTCGCCCAGTAATGAATCATATTCATCTGACAACGACTGGTTCAGGGACGGCCCACCGACCACCTAAGCCAGACCAGAGGAAGACCACCTGCCGTGGACTTCCACAGAAGTTACAGGAAAAGGAAGCCCCATTTCTGGCAGGTCCGCTTAGCTGGTTCAGCAGATTTTGGAGCTACAGATGGCCACCTTGTTGCTACCTGGTGAGAGCCCTCTTGAGGATGAAGCCAGAACAAAGGGAAGCCGAGCTGAGACAGGGCAGCAGCTTCCTGATGACACTGCTTGAGTACCTAGATCCAGCTATGCCTGAAGGCAGATGTACTACTGGACTTTCCAGTGACACCAGCCAATTCCCCTTTTTCCTTAAGCCAACCTAAGCTGGGTTTTCTGTCTCTTATAAACAAAGAATCCTACCATATCACAATGCCTTTAAGAAACAGAAAACCACTTTGCCCATCCGTGTGCACGTGCCCTACAGCAAATGGAGGAAAGAGAGAGCTATGTTCGTATGAGGAGGATTACAGGAGCTCAACCAGGCTTTATACCCACTGTCACTTTTAATCACAGCCTCATGCTCATGCTGCCAAGGACAGCATGAGGCACTGCATGTGGTTAGGGAGGGAGCCCAAGGCTGCAAGCTGAGCACATGGTTCCCCAGCCTCCCCTCCTCTGCCTCACATACAGGCTGCTGATTTGCATTTTTGAAAGTTTTCCCCTTTTTCATAGCAGAGGCCTTTAATCATTGGAATCCTACAGAAACCCCTTAATACACAAAGCCCATCATGCTACGGTTATGTGGAGGGCAGGGACGCTGGACACTCCAATCACGCTGTGCAGCTCCACCTGGGCTCCGGAAAGCAGAGCCCGCATAGACAAGTCTGCCAGGTGCCCAGCATCCAGGGCCCCTTCTTTGAGTTTGGCAGGACACGCACACTCTGTTAGCTTTTGGTGACAGATCAACCGCGGGAGCAAACGCAGGTCACACATGGACCCTCCCAGAGACACCGGAGCCGACGTGGCAGCGTGCACACCCCTCCCTACCCCCACCCCTCCCCGGTGCCAGGACTCACTCAGATCTAGCACATCATCCGTTTTGATCAGGTCCTCCTCCCGCGTCAGGGGCAACTGGGTTTCGGGCTCCCCTCGCAGCTGCAGTGACAGGGAACGGAGCATGAAGAACACCCGGATGGCCTGGACAGAGTTCAGGAGCAGAGGAGGATGAAGCTGGAGTTATTTAGGTGAAGTGTTCCATATGGAGAAATCACACAGTCTGTGACTCTTGATTTAAACAAACAAAACAAAGTCCACTTGTCCCAGTATCATGGCTCTGGTGTTTTCAGAGCAAGCCAAAAAAAATCAAAGGGTGCAGCCTGTTTTTAGTTCTCCATAGGTTTAGGCCACTTCACCTCAACTGAGCACCTGTCATTTGCCAGGAGCTCTTCCCTAGTGCCATGTGACCTTCACGACACCCTTGCTTAACAAGCAGCCCCATTTTGCAGACAATGCACTAGGACCCAAGGAGGCAAAGTGAACCGCCCCAGGTCACATGGCTAGGGAGGGCTAGAATCAGTCCTCTTCCAACTAACCCAGCACAGAATTTGGAAATCCGTATCACAAGTAACAGTGTTCCCATGTCCCGCCTAGTGAGTGCAGGGTAGGGAGGACAGAAGAGGGTGAGATGCTCGTAGGGTTCAGAGCCAGCCAGACTCCCTTAAAATCCTGCCCCTACCCCTCCCTGGGTGAGCCCGTTACGGCAGAGTCTTAGTGTGCTGTGGATGAGACAGCAGGCCTGGCGCCTGGCTGGTGTGCCATCACATCAGTGCCCCAAGCGCCCTCAGGCTGACCCAGCCACTTCCTGGGGCCGGAGACAGCCCCGCCAGCACAGGGATTTTTGGCCCGTGGACGAGGTGTCTGCGTGGAGTCCAGTATGGCCATCAGACATTTCCAGAGAGCAGGGAAAACACAGAATCCCTAGGCCCGGACCCAGAGAAGTTTGTGCAGAAAGCGGCTTTTACCTCGGACCCAGCCTGCCATGAGAGCCCGAGCCCTGGGTCCTAGACTGGGGCTGAGGTGCCCATCGGCGAGAGTCCAGGAAGCGGAGGCACAGCCCATGGGAGAGGCCACCTCCATGCCACTTTCCCTGACACACAGCTGATGGGCCTACCCGAGGTACATGCCTGAGGGAAGCAGCTCTGGAGTCAGACATGTAAGGCCTGTGTTGGACTCACGGGGCAAGGCCCCTGACCTCCCTGAGCTTTGATTTCCGCATCTGTGAAATGGGGCGGTAGTCCCGGCCCAGCAGGCCTGCTAAGAGGCCCGGAGATAATGTGGGGGGGGGGGCGGCGGAGAGGGGAGCAGCCCGCATGTGTTCTGTAAAGGGGCCGCCGTCCTTTTCTCCAGCCACTGGATAGCTGGTCACAGGGGAGGGCATGGGGACAAACCACTGTCGCCACTGGTGAGCCACACAACGATGAATTCCAGCCTACTTTTGGTCTTCTTGTTTACAGTCCTGAGGCTATAGGCCTGGCCCACTGAAAGGGGAGGCTGCCCTTCCTATGACAAGGTGCCTCCCAAAACAAAACGGGAGGCAAATTCCTGCCTGCAAAGAGCAGGGCTTGCATGGACTCCTAGGCGACAAGGATGCCCACTGGCACACTGAAACCCGAATCCGGTCTTGGCCTGGACCTGGCAGGAGAGCTGAGCCTCTGCCTCCATCTCCTAATGGAGAAAACTGGAAGAACAACCCTACCTCCTGGATGTATGCTGAGGTCATGTATTCCCCCTTGTCCGCCAGAAGCACTAGAGAAAGATAAGCCTTTATATTATAACGATGGGGGTGGGAGTAGGGTGGCAGCATTACTATTGATCTGATTGTCCTTAGCAGTTTTTCAAGTACGGCCTTCCTAAGACATCTGCAACAATCGGGAAAAAAGCAAGTGCCTTTTCATTTTTTTAAAAATCAAAACAGCTTTTATTTATTAAGCACCCACGGTGCACCAGCACCGTGAGCGCCTTAATGCAACATAAAGCTGTTACACAAGAAGAAACGGAACTGGGAGGGGCAGAGCGATCCAAGTTCTCGCTGCTCGTGATGCCTGAGCTGGGCTTGGAACCAGCAATGTCTGATGCTTGTGTCACTTAACCAAGCACACAAGGACATTCGCACGCCTGCACCAGCCCGAGTGCAGAAAGCCTGAGACGTGGGTGGCCCCTTGAACTATACGGCCATCTGAGTCCAAGTCATGGCCTTGGACGTGAGGAAAAAGGCCCATCCGTCAGGTCCAAGCTGAGTGAATGCTTCATTTCAGTGTCAAAAATCCATTCCTCTCAAAGGTTCTGAAGGCAAAGAAATCAAGCGGGACCCTTGCTGGGGGGTGAAAAAAGAGAAACGTGTGCTTTTCTACAGACCATCACTCTGAAAACCTGAAACCTTCCAATACAAAAGGAGTTTGGAATTTGGCTCCTAGTATAGACCTTTTTGGTGATACATCTGCTTTGGCTCTGGAAGCAACAAATGGAAAATATTTCCAGAAATACAAAAAACAATAATACAATAAAAATATAAAGAATATAGAACACGCGGACCAGCCCTACAACTTCGGGAATCCACAAAAGAGTGGTAAAACACCAGGATAAGGGTCCTCAAATTCATCCCACAGACCCCTAAACAGTAAGCACCCCCCCCACCCCGCTTACCTGAGACCTGCCAAGTACTGGCAGGGCTGGACCGTGTCATCTCCCTGAAGCCTCTTAACGACCCTCTGTGGTTCCCATTTTATAGACCAGAAACCAAAGCCCAGGGATGTGAGGCAGCCTGCCCACGGTGACTCAGCTAATAACCGGACTCCAAAGTCTTGTGTTCTTCCAGCCACATGCCTTTGCCTTCAAAAGATTTAAGGCTGGGGACCCAGGCTTTTATTGAGTGCTTCTCTTTACTTTGCCAAATAAACATGCACTTTAAAAAGTATTAAAAAGGAAGAAGGAATTATTGCTTTCTGATGCTTCCACAGAATGCCAGGAAGATGGACTCTGGAAGCACACGCTAGTTTTGGCAAGGGGTGACAGCTGAGCATGCTGAAATATAAAGAAGAGGCTCATCCCGTGTGCTCCAAGGCACCTGGGAGCAAGCTCTGCAGCGGGGTCGTGGAGAAGGAAGCGGGGTCGTGGGAAAGGAGTCCACTACAGTGGGGCAGGATGGCTTCGGGGTCGAACAGACCACGGCAAGTGAGTCACGTGAATTCCCTGAGCCCGGGCTCGACTTCTGGGAATGGAGTACCCACCGGCCCTGATCTCGGGGCCTCCCCGGAGGTGCACCCTGAATCGAGCGCTCAGGTCCAGCCCTCTCTCCGCTTCCCTTGTCACATTTGCAAGCCATGGAGTTCGGGGGGCTGTCCCCCAGATGAGGAGCCCACCAGCCCATGGAAGTGGCTGTGAAAAGCCAGTCACTCCTAAGAGGGTGACGAAGCAGTGTCACATGGGTCCGGCCCACCGTGAAAGCCCCTTGGCAATATGGGGAGCGTCACACAGGAAATGTCCGTGCCCCCTGAACCAGAAATTCTACTTCTGGGAACTTTTCCTAAAGAAATAAGCCAAAAGAAAGAAAACCCTGTATTTGTGAAGCTGCTCAGGGCAGTTTAGTTGAAAATAATGTAATACTGGAAGTAACCAGAATGTCTAGCAGCAGGAAAATGCCTTGAGTAAGTTACGGCAGAAGTCGCCAGATAAACTTTCACGCACCAGTAAGAAATGTGACTGAAATTAAAACCGCATCCCAGCACAGAAAGCTTCTCACTGTACCAGGGAGAGTGGGAAGGAACAGGCTGGAAGGAAGATCACAATGCACTCTTCCTACCGGCATGAGAAGATGTGACTGAACACAAAGACAGGGAGGAGACACGAAAAGCGTCTAAGCTTTCTTTGTTTAGGGTGATGTAATCACGGGAAATTCTTTCCCTCTACTTTCGAAACCCTACGAGATGTACTTTAATGTGTAATACACATACAAAAAATAAAGAAAAATATCCTATTTCCTCACGGGCAATAGCGATAAACACAAAACTGTGGTTTTACGTGGGAACAAGGAACAGAAGTCAGGGACAAATAAAATTTCACGCGACTATATTTATTTTGTAATGGCTTCCAAGATTACAACAGACAGACGGCCAGTGGCTTACATTCAGATCTTGAGATTCACCAGAAATTCCTCTCCCTCTCTTCTCTACCCTGAAGCTTCAGTAGATGGCTAAAAACTCTCTTTCTTTCCCTCCTGAGACGTTAGACTGCTCCACCCCTGTTCAGCCAACATTTCCTGAGCTCTTCCTGCCTGCCGGGCACCTTGCAGTCCCTCTACCTTATCTACTTTGGCCAGGAGCTGAGAGACAGGATACACTGAGGCTCAGGGAGGGTAAGCAACTTGCTCAATGTCACACAGTTGGAGCTGGGATTGAACCCTGGTTGGTCCCACGAGCCTGTGTTCTTTCTTAACGGCTTCTCTCAGCTGCCCCTGGGATAGGTCCAGCCCACATCCCCACTTCTGCTTCCACGTTCTCATCAGATCCCAGTAGTTCCTAAGACCTTCATTTCAACGTGAATTCCCCTGATTAGCTGGCATGGCTCAGTGGCACTCTCGCTATTTTGGTCTTATTTTATATTATTTGTTCACGGTCTATTCTTGCATTTTGCATAGTGCCTGGCTCCTAGAAAAATGCTCAACAAATCTGTCGAATGAAAGAATGGTGTAATTTGCAAAATGCAAGAGGGACACCATGACTTTCAGTGTCGGATGTCTCCCCGTGGCCTAAAAGGCCTGGCCGTCCTCCTGTCCTGGCCCCACCCCTCCACTCACTCTGCTCGCCACCAGCTCCTTGAACACGCTATACTCTTGCGCATCTCGGGGACTCTGCACTCACTGTCCCTTCGGCCCTGTTCATTTCTGCACCCTCGGGCCCAGCATCTGGCATCGAGTAGGCATCCAGTGGCTCTCTGGTGACTGGAGGACTATTTTACAAGTTAGGAATGATGTATTAGTAAGGGTTGTTTGAACTTCTTTAACAAGTCCTCAAGGAAAATGAAAGGTGGGATTTCTGAAAAGTGTCAGCCTCCTGAAAGTTAAAAAAGTCTACTTGGTGGAAAAAAAAAAAAAAAGGAAGAAGAAAACGTTTGAATCCAAAAGGATGAAATGGAATGTTCTTTGGATACAAGGAAAGAACTTGAAACAAACCACATAAGCCCTCAATTGCTTGCTAAACCATACACTTCCTTTAGCTCAAATTCAAAGCACACTGCTGTGTTCTGATGTCTGAAATGGGCTCAGGAGCTAAGCTTCTGGATGATTCTAGACAGCTGCCTTGAAACAGGAACTGGACTGAGGTGAGTGGTCAAAATCCCCCTTCAGAAACTGATTCCTGAAGTCAGGGAAGCTTCTCTAAGGTAGATGGCTTCACTTTGAGATGGTCAGCACTATTCTATATATTCTGCCACCTTCTCCCTGGCTCTAAACCCAGGGACCCTGAGACTTGAGGGTTGATCGTATAAACTCGTCAGACAAAGGCCGAACAAGAGACCCCAGGGAAGCCCAGGCGTTCCTGGGAGCTCTGTGCTTCGCGTAGCAGTTGCGCTGTGCATCTCATCTGGGGGAAGGGAGGCGGGCAGCACGGCCCTGGGAACTTACAACCAAGTGAGACGTCAGGGGCAAAGGGAAGAAGGGAACCCCTACCCTTGAGAACTCTTACTGGCCTTCTGTGCTCTGCCCTTCACTGAGTCCCTGCAATGACTCTGGCAAGGCAGGTACATGCTGCTTTGAGATGGGAGAAGGAACTCCAGAGCCCAAGCAACCCTCCCTCTGCCATATGCCTCGGCCCTGAATTTCTCCCATCCTCTCCTGTAGATCAGGACCGTCTGCCCCAACCCAGCAGGGCCTGATACCAGGAAGCAGCTAACAAGGTTAAGGTCCTCAATGGGCTCTAAGGCCCCAGAGATCAGCCCCCTCCAGCCTCATCACTTCCCACAAAGCCTCCCTCACTGTGGGCTGCAGCCACGTCCCCTCCTTGGAGGTGCTGGAGTGAGCATCTGTCCGGGCCTTTTCCCCTCCTGGCTGCCCAACCTAACCCTCTGCCGCCCGTTCCACCTCCCTCCCCAGGCAGGAGGAGGCGCCTGACCCCATGTTTCTTTAGCAACAGCCTCAGTCACACAGACTGGCAATGCTCCCTTTCCTACCTTGCCCTCTAGACTCTGACTCCTTGAGGACAGAGGCAGTGTATGTTAGGTCCCTGCTGTCCAGCACCAAGCAGGCCTAGTAAATACAATGAAGGGAGCGGTGGGAAGCAGGCCACACTGCCTGCACAGAGTCCTGGCTCTGCTACTTATGAGTTGGGGGACCGCAAGCCAATCACCTGACCTCATCATGCCTCAGTTTCTTCCTCCGCAAGACGGGTTCATATAATGCCAACTTCTTAGGACGGTTGTAGAATTACATGTTGGTGGTTCACATAAAGGTGGTTCACATAAAGAACTGATGTGAATGACTCACTTGGTATCAAAGAGAAGCTCATCTAAGTGTTGAGAAAACTGGGGGCCCAGGGACCCAAAAGAAGGCAGAGGGCAACCCAGAGTGGCAGCTCTCCCCATTCACAGCCTTCCGGACCGCTGGCTCAGGGGATGAGGCAGGCCTCGGGGACAGGACCTTCACTCTAGCCTCGCCACGGAACATTTCCGAGGCCAACCAAAGGCTACGGGTGAGCGTGCCCGCCCGTGAAGGAGTTGCCAACACAACCCGCGTTTGTCAGAACCAGCCCCGTGGAGAAGCTGGGGCCAGTGATGCCCAGTGCAAACAGTGCCACCCACAAACATGCTCGTGTGCCCAGCCACGGGGCCTGCAGGGCTGGCTGGGAGCACGAGGAAGGCGGGTGTCACTGGCTCAGACAGGGTGGGTCCTGTGGTGAGGTCTGCGGGTTTGGTCAGACAGCAGGGAATGTGCACTGACTTAAAACACACAGGTTGGACTTCCTCTGCATCACCCTCCACCCCAGGCCTCTGAGGCCAAATCATCGGATCCTCCTGTTTGAGGCAGATCCAGCAGGTCACTCCTGCTTCTCAAAATCCCAAAATTAACACCTCTGCCGCTCTGGTTAGAACGGGGATTAGCTGAGAAGAAGAGGGCAAGGAACTCATCAAATTTATCTCATCATGTCTCCAGGGAATGATTTTCTAGGAAGAGGTGATGGTGCTTTCTAAGAAAGAAACTGATTTTATGCGAGAGATAAAATACTGTGAACAGCCCTGCAAGACTGCTTCAGAAAAAAAGTGTTGATAAGGGACGCACACTCCAGCAGGGTTCTGAGAACTCTGCTTTTCACACGTGGGAGCGGACTGGCAAGAGTCACAATCTCATTTGTTTGTGCCTCACCCCCAGATCCCTCAGATACCTTACCAGAACACCACTGCTCCATCTCCGGGGGTCCCGAGCCTCCCTGGGAGAGGATTTCACACCAGGGCCTCACCTGCACTGCCTGTTCTCAGCTCACTCCCCCAGGTGCATGGCAGCAGCCCAGAGGTGTCCCCCCCCCCCCCCCCAGAGCCTGGGGCTGGGGCCGGGGCCCTGCTCTGCACCAGCCAAGGCAGCCTGCCTGGCCCTCACACAGGGGAATCTCAATCCTGTTTTAGCCAAGGGCAGCTCACCTTGGGAAGTTCCTCCCGGTGGCAGGGTGCCAGGGGGGTGTTGAAGTGGGTTGGAAGGTGGGCTCTTGACCTGGTCAGATGGCAGCCCAGGGAGAGGGGGGTCCCGCCCACGCTTACTCACCCGCCGGGTCTTCTCCACGTCGCCACACGGCAGCCGCTTTACAAAGTCAATGCCGGTCAGCGGCGTGCCCGTGGGGGGCAGCAGGATGGAGGCGTCCATCATGAGATACTCCACATTCATGGGCTTCATCTAGGAGAGACATCATAGGAAACCTCACCGAAAGGAGGAAGAGCATGGGGCAGGTTACCCAGACCCCTCGCCTGTATCTGCGCACAGCTAGTGAGTAAAGCAAGCCCACATTAAGGCTAGCATGAGGTCTCAAGGCAGCCAGGCGTGCGAGACATGCGCCATTGTTTCCCAAGACACAGACCTTTCCTTCCCTTGAAGTGACAGCTCAGACACTCCTGGGAAGCTGCCTCCATGCTGTGAAAAGCTGTGCTTTCCCACCGGCTCAAGATCCCCCACCTGGCAGGGAGCGGGTCCCTGACCACAGCCCACCTCCCTCCCTTTGTGCTGTCAAGAATGACGACAGCAGACTAGCAATGGCAGCTCCCAGTTATCGTTTATCCAGAGTGGGCTATGGACTGCGGGCAGGCGGTGACCTACAGGCTTTGAGGGCGTGATCCTCCTTAATCCTCCCAATGACTCCAGAAGGGATGTTTCCCGATCCGCTAATGAGAAAATGGAGACTCAGGCGGCAGGTGGCAGAACTAAGACGCAGACCCAGGCCTGCCCTGCTCCAGACCCCGTGACTCCTACCACATGACCACCATCCCCTTCCTTCCTCACCACCTCGCTGTCTTTACCTGGGATCATACAACAGAGTCACTTACTAAGCATCTACTAAGTGCCAGGCGCCCAAAGGGCTCACCTCCTGCTGGACAGCGGTGCTGTTGCTGTTCCTTATTACAGAGGGGGACACTGAGCTCAGAGGAAGGGCGTATGCCCACAGCGCCTGGGCCACACGGGAGCACAACTGTCTGCCTGCTTCCACACCACCTCCAGGAAGTCTTCTCTGATTATGACGACATATGGTATCGACACCTCCCCTCCTGGAACTCTGCTGTATCAGTACGGACATTGAATGTGCACGTGTTGTTGGACACGGACACTTCATTTCCCTGACATCATAAAGGAAAGACATTTCACAGGGTACATTTCCTACAGAATTAACTTTACTCCTCCAAGCATCACATGCTTTTTTGTGTGTCTTCTTGTTTTTTTTTTTTGTTTTTTTTTTTTTTCAGAAAGTGGGCTTTAATCGTATTACACTCTCTCCCTCCCCTGAAACATATATATAGCTGACCACATGGGGCAGTTGTGGTGAAGGCCCAGCTGTTTGGGCTAGGGAGCCAAGGAGACACCTAGTTCGTGCTGCCTTTTTCTTTTAGCCACCCCCCAAAGGCCTGGGGTCCCCCATCCTGAACCCCTTTATCCTGAGACCGGGTGGCAGAGCCCTGAGTCCCACCCCAGGGCCGCCCTTGGCATCGCCTTCCAGCCTGCCTGCCGTTCCCCAGCAGCCCCCCTCTGCTCTGCCCCACCTCCCTCCACCACCTTCCCGGTGAGCAGTGCCGACGGCTTCTGTTGCACCCTCATTACACCTCTGCGCTAAATAGGTGATAAGAGAAGTGAACAAGGGTCCAACATGAAGGCATGGCTTCAGTGCAGGGGTCTCCATGAGCACCCAAAGGCCTATCTCTACTTCACTGAGCTCAGCGGCTGCTTTCCTCGAGTCCGACCGCAGGAATGACTTTCAGGTATGGGGGCTGGGGATATGCCCCCTTTCTATTTCTCTAGAGGGCCAGGCCCTGTGCAGACCACACAGTAAACATGGGACAAGACACACAAACACAGCCCCAGAAGCTCCCCATGGCAGGAGGGAGAGGAAGCAGATATTCCTTGTGCACACACCCCACAGGAGGCGCCTCTTAGGTACTTCAGACCCAGGCGCGTGGTTTGGGCCCCATCTTACAGATGGAAAAATGAAAGTGCAGAATGTAAGCAACCCACTGAAGGTCACGCAGTTAGTAAGTAACAACAGCAGAGGGGTGCCTGGGTGGCTCAGTTGGTTAAGTATAACACTCTTGGTTTTGGCTCAGATCATGATCTCAGGGTTGTGGGATCCAGCCCTGCGTCAAGCTCAGCGGGGAGTCTGCTTGAGACTCCGTCCCTCTCCCTCGGCCCCTCCCTCTCTGCTTCTCCCCCTGCTGACACACGCACCATGTGGTCTCTCTCTCTAATAAATAAATACATAAAATCTTAAAAAAAAAAAAAAAGGCAGAAACTGAGCAGGGGTTTAGGAGCCTGAGCTTTTCTATATCATCAAGCAACATATGAGCCTTACGTTTCCAACAGGAAACCAAACTGTGGAGAATTACATTGCAGAAGGGGACAGCACAGGGGCAAGATGAAATGGTGGCTAACCCCCAAATCCACTGCACTCTAACTACCAGCCCAAAGAGTAGGAGACTGAAACACCCTTCCAGGGGCTGGGGGAGTAATGGGGAGCAGTGGCCATCGCCGGGTGTGAGGCACACCCGGGCAGCCTGTACCTCCCCAGAGGAGGCCCTGGGCGCTACTGGGGTGTTTCTGGAGATGATCTATGCCAATTTACAATTTTCCCTGGAATAGGCTCTGCAGAGGCCTTAGAAGTGCCGAGGGCGAGGATGTGGTAAGGGCACAGCAGTCCCTACCCGATGAGATGGGCTTGGGAGCCAGGAGACACTTAGAGCAAGCTGCTTTTGACTTTGTGACAGTTTAGACACTTAGGTTTACCATAAACTTCTGGAATCATTTCACTTTTTTTTTTTTTTTTAAAGATTTTACCTATTTATTCATGAGACACAGAGAGAGAGAGAGGGAGAGGGAGAAGCAGGCTCCCTGCGGAGCAGGGAGCCTGATGCAGGACTCAATCCCAGGACCCTGGGATCATGAACTAAGCCGAAGGTAGACCCTTAACCGACTGAGCCACCTAGGCGCCCTCACTCTTTGATGAGCAATGTCCATGAAAAGGACATTTATCATCTATTTACTGAGTGCCAACTAAGGGTCAGACGATACGGATGCACAGAAATGAACAAAACAGAGAAAGCCGCAAATCTTCTAACCCGATCTTTTCCCATGACTATGCCTGATGGACAGAGGGAAACAGGGCAGACTCTGGGCCAGTGCTGTGGATTCAAGGATAAGCAACACGCTGGAACATTCCGGTGGCACAGCAAAGAAGGGCAGGGCACTGGAGGCAAACTGCTGTGCTTTGGAATCCTGGCTCTGCACCTCCCTGGCTGGACAGGCATGGGGCCTCACTCGACCTCTTATCCTTGCCTCCTGATCGGGATGATAGGAGTCTATGCTAGCAGCCCCTCCCATCAGGGTGACGGGGCAGTAAAAGGATGAACACGTACAACGTGCTCTACACTCCTGACACGGCACGAGTCCTCAAATATTATTCGTGTCAAAGTGAATCTTTCCGGCCCATCTATGGCACAGCCCACAGAGGGGAAGTGTGGGTCATCTGAAATTTCACCAGCGGCGGGGATCAAAAGGCACCATTTCCAATTCACTTCCCCACCAATCTCAGTCGAAAAGGCCCCAGTTAGACAGCTTTCTCTCAGTTTCACCAGACAAGCCGTGCAGGCAACCAAGTGCATCCTGGCCCCTCACTTACTGTCATGCTCCTGTACTCATCTTCAAACATGTCCAAGAAAATTTCTTCTCCCTAAAAAGAGGAAGGGAGAGAGATTATGCATATTTTTTCCACAAACACCAAATTATTATAAACTCCAGTTCATGGCTGTTGGGGCCATCTGGTTCTCATCAGTGAGTTCTCGTAAATCACCAGGAAGTAAGACACACACGTGAACACGAACACACACGCTCAAACGAAAGCCCAAGTATCATATTGCACCTCTCAACGTTTCTCTCCTTTTTTTTTTTTAAAGCATGTAGAGTCAGATTCCTTCTGTCAAGGCAGCTAATTAAGATGACAACAAAAATAACACCATTTATAATTAAACTATAAAAGTGGGTGAAATTGCAAGTGTTTCACATCATCTATGTGTTGAGAAGGGTTGGAGAAACGGGAAGCCTGGTTCAGGTGCCATGTTAATCTATGAGGCTCCACGCCTCAGAAAGGAAGCGTATAATTAAGCATACTTAACACTAAAATTACAGAGCTTGTTCCAGTCATTTCTGAGGCACACCTGTGAGGCTCTGCAGTTCTGCAGGGCTGCAGTGGGTAAGACTCTGGCTCTGAGACACGCAAACCAGGGGCCCAATCCCAGCTTTACCTCTCAGAGCCTCTCTCTGGTTCACTGCAAGACTGGAATGACAGTCCACGTCTATGCGGGTCACTGCGAGGATGACAGGAGTTAACCCGAGTAAAGTGCTGACCACAGAGCCTGCCACTCAGTTGGGGCTGGTAAATGCTAGCACTCATGGTCATTATAGTCAGCCCCGGATGGAGCACAGGTAGGGAGAGGAGTGGAGAGTCAGCTGAATGCATCATGACTATTCAAACTGTCCTCTCTCCTAAGTCCTGAATCTCTCTCTCTCTCTCTCCCCCTCTCTCTCTCACACACACACACGGTCAGGATGGGAAAAGGAGCAAATCCTTTATATATTTTTCCAGTTGAAACTTCAATATTCTTGCATGGTGTAAGAATCACGTAAGAACCACAAAAATCACAATCCTGAGAACATCCAAAAGCTTCTAAGGTATTATACTTAGGGAATAACACTTATAGGACAAATGAACAATCTGGGTAGGGAGAAGGGAGCTACAATTCAAATATAGCTCTCTTTTGGCTAAAGATAAACCCTCTGGGAAAATGCCTACCTATGTATCTCTGTCTTTCTGACTCTGCAAAGCAAAGGCTTTCTAGGGGGGGAAACAAACGAAGAGCAGTTATCCTGGAAAGAGACCCAAAGATGACTAATGCAGCTGTGAGGCTCCCATTCTCTTCTGGGCTTTGCTGAGGACTTGTATCCTCGCTCAGAGGCCAAGCCCCTCGGGATGGTTTATGGGAACCTGGGATCTCCTCCCCAATGCGTGGGGGCCCACAGTGGGCCACCCTTATCTGGGCACGTCCACCATGTTACAGCTGCATGGGGTCATCTGCGCCTGGCGAGGCGGATTTCCAGATTATAAGACCTCGTTTTCTCTCAACAAACACTGACAATAACAGACAGTGGCTTAAAAAGCTTCCTGCAAAGAAAAGGGATCTGCTGCATATGTGCCTATGATTCACGGCAGTTTGTGGAGACTACAGATAATGAAAGCAGTTGAACAACAAGAAGACGGCAGTGCCAACACCTTTCCTCCTCCAGAGAGGTTCTCTGGATCAGCCAAATGACCAGGGGAAACCCCGGCTAAGTGGACCTGGAGAGACCCGACGTGGAGGTCAAAAACTCGGGGAGCCACAGGGCCAGTGTGAATGTGGATTAATCCATCTCCTGCTGACCGATGATGTGCTTCCCTAAGAATATATCATGCTTTAGATATAGAGCAAAACAAAACCATCACAGTGAGATATTTCAAAACTAACCATCTGGAATCTGAAGAGGACCTCTACAAATTCCTCGGTGACTCAGAGTCCTCGTGGCCCTTTACAAAATCTCACTAAACTTAAAGATAAAGGATTAGAAGCCTGTATGAGGTGTCTTGGCATACATGTCTGTAAATGACACACATGCGTGGAATTCATAAGTAATTCAAAAGTTATTTTATATGGAAAACATACATATCTCATGCATATATTAATTTACACACGTAACTTAGTCCCGTGCATGCATGTAATTCACATTTATATGTAGATTCATTAGTAAACAAATTCATATATCATTGATAAACTGTCACAGACTAGGGGTCCTCAGAAGGGGTACCACTAAGAAGAGCGCACGGCCCGCTGCTCGGGGGCTTGACATGGCGTGTGCTTAGTACAAGAAGTCACCACGGACTTGTGTTCGGTACGTGCGCACGCCTAGATACTACAATCTTGTGTCTGTGACGCACAGCACACTGCCTTCCCCTGCACTCTGGCCACTTACCTTATAAAAGTGCCGCACTAGGTGAACGCTTTCTTCTCTCGCGCCCTGTTGAGAGAGGGAAGGCAGAAAGGAGGCCGGTGAGTTGGGTAAGTTACCGGTTCCAAAATCTGAGTGCATATCAAGCAGATGAGAGGCTGGGCTCATATCCCTAAACCAATAGAGTGGTTTGTAATAGGGAGGGAAGGGGGGAGGGTGGGAGGGCTAGCTTAAAACAAAAATGGGCAAAAGAGAGGGGATTCTGGAAAGCTGTTAGCATACAGTTAGGTGGGGGAAGCGGGTTACAAAACTTGGCCATGGTGACTCTTATAAATGTGTCAGTGTGTGGGTATCTGGAAAGACACACGCCAAAGTGTCAACTACAGCTGTTCCTTTTTACCTTTGTACTTTCTAAATTTTCTCAAAAAAAAAAAGAAAAATAAGGGGGAAAACAATAAAAACCAAAAAACAATGAATATAGATATTAGCACTATAAAAACACAAAAAGCATGCATGTGTTTGGATATGTGTAACATTTTTCTAATACCTAAAGGAAAATATTAAAATTCCGACTGACAAATACAGGGCCAACAGCTGTCACAGAAATTACTGAAATTCACTAGTTAAGAGGGCTCACCGAGCCAGTCTCAGAGGAAGGGTAATTCCACCAGAACAAGGGGGTTGCACTGGGGGATCAGGGCTATTAGGCCCTGCTTCACGCCGGTGCTGTGGACCCCAGGACCGGGGCTCCCATCTGGATCCAGCAGTTTCCTTCCCACGCATGGCCTCCCGCGGAACCCAGGCGGTGGGAGGGGGGCCCTCACCTCCAGGCAGGCCAGGTGCACGTCCTTTATGATGCAGCCTGTGCTGGTCACCACTTGCTGCTTTAGGAGTAGGCAGCTCAGCTCCAGCGTCGCCAACCGGATCTTCCCATCTGCAGGGGAAAGCAGGGTCAGCCTCGCACAGCCTGGTGGGAAGGCCTTAGACACAGTTTCTTCCCTTGCCCACTTTGAGGTTAACAGGTCAGCTGACGGCCCTTGACATCCAGTGGGGACACAGAGGGAACTCACATGCCAACCCCTTCCCAATTACAATAGAATGTTCCATCCAAAACGCCCACACCAAATACTCACCTGCACTCCCTTTATCACTGGAAAGGAGGCAGGAAAAAGATTATTACTAATTATTCCTGAAGGTGGGGAAAGTGGCCATCTATGGTTGCTTTCCTTGGCTGGGTTCCCTCCCCTCTTCAGGAACAAGCACCACTCTTTCCTTTGGAGAATCACCAACCCCACTCTTGGGTCTCTAATTTGGGTGGGGCCAGTCCCTTTGCTCCGTCCCAGGGAGGGGCACATCACCCAGGCTGGTCAGGGTGCTCTATTCCTCCGGTCACAGTGACTGGGGAGGGGACAGGCAAGGGGGGCCGGTCAGAGCCAGTAAGGCTCAATTCCACAACATGCTGGGACCACTGAGCAAGAGAAGGTCTCCTTGTGCTGGGCTGAGGGCAGGACAGGAACAGTGCCGGGGCCCTGACGGGGCCTGAGCAGCACAAGCCTTATAATCCACACTGGCCACCTCTGCACCCTTGCCTGAGTTTTCCATCTTGCGTCCAAGTCCACCCTTCCCATCAGACTGCCCAGAGTATGTCTCCTACAGCAAGGTCCGAACCCCGGAAGGGAAAGGGATGACTGGAGCTGCAGCTGGTAGTTATCCTGCTAACACACAAAGTGGAAGAGTCCAAAAATAGTCCTGAAAACATTCTTTGAGTTTCTGTATCCAGCGGTGCCTGAAGCCAGGCTCCAAAAGACTTCAAGTTACACAAGCCAGTAGTTTGTTCATATTGTTTCAGCCTGTCTGAGTCGGGTTTCTGTCGACGGCAACCTACCTGCTACACTACTGTGAGCCAGGCATGGTGCTGGGCATATTACAGACCCTCCCGCCAGGAGTCTCTGCAAAAACCCACTGCGGTGGGTGCTCTAAAGACTGAGGTTCGGGAAAGTGAACTGACTTGTCCAAAGTCTCACCCTGGGACTCCAGGTGCTCTGAATGCCAAGACCCACGTCGGGCACTGCTCCTAGAAGCATCTGTGGTCGCCTGACAGGAGGACAACCTGCTCTTAGGCAAACTGCTCACTGGGTTTTTAAGCACCTTTCTGGGGAGATGTCTCAATGTAAGGAGGGGCGAGGAGAGAAAGAAGTCTCCAGGCCACAGCCCTGAGGCCCTGGAAACCCCAGACGTCAGGACCGGCTACTGGGAAAAACTCAAGGTAGATGTACCACTGCACGCCTCCCTGCCCACCCCCCCTTCCTGCTTCACCCATCTGGTGGGGAACGGGGGAAGAGGGAAGCATTCACTGGGAAAGGCTGCTTGGTCTCAGCTCCGTGGCTCTGTCTCGCTCTCTAGCCCCATCAGCCCAGCACGGACATGGCTTCTGTACGGCCACCCTGCTGGCCGCGCCCACCCACCTCCCACCTCCAGCTCTCTAGGGCACGGTCTCACTCTTGCCTGCCCCTCCACGGAACCCCACTGGCCCAGCCACTGCCCCCCTGCTGCTGCCTCCAGGGAAGGGGAGTGTGATCTTCCAACCAGACCCTCCTTCCTTTGCAAGCTCCTGCCAGGTGCTAGACTTCCTCCCACTGGCCCCCTCAAGGGGCTGGCTGTCCTTCCCCGCCCTGGAGGCTCCTCTCTAACATCCGGGCCACATCCTACCTTCCCTGACCACCGAGCCACATCTGCTCAGATAGCTCCCGCCAACTGCCCCCTCAGCCACCATCCTCAGGGATGAACTCTGCTCCCTGTGCTAGACCTCTCAGTAGAAAACTGACCCCACTGAGCGCCCTTGGTCCTGAGCCACACCTGTCTCTCTTGCTGCCCCTCGTCCATGTGGGACCTGGCTCAGGGTGCCATGCTGGCTCCTGCTCTGTCACCTCGAGACACTTGTAGTGGCCCAGGGCTTGGTCCCAACATACCTCTCTTCTCTCCTGGGGCTTTAAAGATCACCCACCTGTCTGTGAGTGAGTCCCACAATGTCAGCTCTGGTCCTGACCCCCATGAGCTCTAGATTCTATCTCCACATGGAAGCCCAGACCCCTGGGACTTCAAAGACCCCCAGCTGTGGCTCCTGGAAGGCAGGAGCTACATCTGTCCTGCACCTCCTGTACCCTCGTCATTTGCACACAGCAGCTGGCACTCGATAAACATTTGTCCATGGGCCCCATTCCCCAAGCCTCTGTACTCTCTCCCGAAAGTCCCACTGGGCTTCTGGCTGCCTGGCAGAGCCCACACCCTGTGACCTCTGAAGTCCTGGCCTACGATCACAACCCCCACCCCTGTCCTTCTCCTGAGCCTGACCTGGGCTCATCCCCACACTGTTCCTACTGTACAGCTCAGGGGTTCTCTCTCAACCAGGCCGCGTCTCCGTCAGGCCCATTTCTGTGCTCTCACTCACACCCTGATGGCCTCTCTCTCGCTGCCTCTACGGAGGACTGGCCTTGCCATCAGGGTTTCTCAAGCTCAGCCCTGCCGATGTTTTGGGTCAGATGATCCTCTGTCATTGGAGGCCATCCTGTGCACTAAGGATGTTCAGCAGCATCCCTGGCCCCTAGATGCCAATAGCACCCCTCCTCAAGCTGTGACAACCAAAAATGTCTCTGGACGTTGCCAAATGTCCCCCAGGGGGGCAAAGTTGATCCCACTTAAGAACCACTGTACTAGATCATTCCACCTGCTGTTTCTAGCCCTTGCCATTGGTGGCAGATCCTCAGCCAAAACCTCAGAACTGGGCTGACAAGTGCCAGACACTGGGCATGTCTTGTACTCTCAAGAGCCCCCGATGCGGAACCTTCCAGCCTTCCCTCAACATGCATTCTCAGCCTGATTCACACTCAGACGGGGCCTTGTCCTTGGCAAAAGAATGGTTGGGTGTGGAAGGAGAGGAAAGACAGGGTCCAGCAAAACGTCACAGGGGAGGAAGGAGGAGACCCCCAGGTGAAGACGCGGCTGGACAGGACGGTACGGGGGGCCCAGGTACGCACGGCCCAGGGAGTGCCTGCCACCAGCCTGCATTCCCAGAAGGGCCAGGTCTAGAACCCAGGACTCCTGGTGCACGGCCCAGGGGCCTGGGCCCTCTACCTCTGCTGCCCCTGTGAGCAGCCACACCCCAGGCACCTGGCTGGGCCGCGTTGTTCATGATCCTGATGAGTCTCTCGGCCAGGAGATGGTTGTAGGTGGTCTTCTCGGCCGCACCAGGCACTGGGAGCTGGATTTGCTCGAGTTTCTCAGGATCCATGCCTGGAACACAGAAAGGGGCAGGCTATCGGTGGAGTCACTCATCCGGGAAGGCGCCTCAGCACGGGGCCGCCCCACCCTTGGCAGCCGTGGTCTATCTCCGTGATTTCTGCCATGGCTGGCACTGCCTGACCCCTCACCTACTGCAGAGTCCTCTGTGAATGGAACTTAAATCCACATATTAAAACATTTTCTATCACCGTTTGTAAAGGGGAAATCAGCATTGCCGCAACATGGACAGTCACTGTGCAAAAGAAAAAAACAATGTTTTTACATTTTAGCCAAAGACCTGACTGACTAGCTACCACTCATCATGGTCCGAGACCTACTCTCTTTGTTAAAAAGGGGGGATTGGCAGGTACTTAAGAGGTGAGGAAGACATACCAGCCCCAAACGGTGACAAGCTCCTGGACATAATTGGGGGGCTCAGAACAGGGACGGAAAAGGAGTAGGTTCTGTATGGCGTGCTGCTGTGCCGTCCCACGCCAGGTCTGCATGCCACCAGAGGCCACCCCTGGATCAGACACATTCCACGGTGGGGGAAATGCAGACCGAGAGGAACGGACCAGACGGAAAGGAAATTACAGTCATGCCCAAGAGTTGCACCTCAAGCTCTTGGCGGCCAACTCAAGGAGCCGGGCCCACCACTCGAATGCACAGGCGGGGGCCAGCGCTGCACTGGGCAAGGGGCGGCGTTGGCATAGAGACATCAGGCTACATCCTACAACAGAGAGGTGCAAATACAGAGATGCCAATAGTGCGGGTCTCTCTTGAAGAGGCAAAGGAATCGTTTTTCTGCCAAGAAACACGAACAGCATTTCAAAGACAAAAGAAAAGACAGGGGACGGGCGGCTGGGCAGAGAGAACGGGAGCGCACACAAGTCCAACTGTGACCTCAGGGTCATCTCCCCTAAAGCAGAACCTGGGGGCCGGGGCAGCAGGAGGACCTGTGCAGACTACTTCAGCAGGCCAGGTGTGCGGTGAGGGTTGCCCCAAATCCTTATCTCTCTTCTAATGTGGCTCTGGAAAAATACACTCACAGAAACAAACATTTCACTTGATCCAAGGTTGGAAAGCTGAATGGATTGTTTGTGCTGAAAGCACGTCTTTTCCTGTTATTCTACAAAAGGGGGGAAGGTGGCACTTCTCGGAACTCTTGAAATACGGCCCCTTGAGTACTAGATGACGCTTCATTTAGAACCTTGACAAAACAGAGGAGGATAGCACTGAAGAGCTGACTGTCTGCTTCCTAAGTGACTCCTACACACACACATTGACGTAATAAACCATAACAATATATCTTGCTTTATTGAATTCCTTCCAGCTCCAAACCAAAGGCTGAGCCATGCCAAGGAGATGACACGGGTGAGGGACGGCCTGAGGGCTCGAGCTGGGTAGTTTTCACGAGCGCACCTCCCTAACGTGGCTTCATCAAAAAATCTGATTGCAGCGAAAATTTAATTTGTGGATTCTATATCCCATCTTGATGCTCCATGTCCAGCTCTGAAGCGCCCTGGTTTATTGAATGGCAAGAAGAATACCAACTGAATCTTTTTGGCGGCTGTTTTTTTTCCCCAGAAATGTCAACACCACCCCCACATCTCTCTGTCCTCCCATTTCTGGCCCTTTGGGAACTGTCAGTCAGTGGTTCTGGGGAAAAATGCTCCCTGGTTGGACCATCTCTCATCCCCCCTCAAAGAGGCCAGCAGACGGGCCCAGCTGTTGGCTCCCTTAGGAATATGGCAGTGGTCAGCAGAACCGGGACAGACCGAGACTTGAACCGGGTCTTGAATTTCCACATTTTGTCTCTTTCCTATGACTGCCCCCACTCCCTGAGAATTTGTCAAAAATGAGAAAATCGGTGGCAAAATCTTCTCTCAACAGGAAGAAAAACACTCCAAGGTTATCCTGACCTCCCTCAACTAGTGGATCCACTCTCTGTGAAGAGGGGGACCCCGAGGGACAGAGACACTTCCTTCAAGAACTTCACAGGACCAGATTCCAGTGCAACCTCCTCCTCTAGCTGGAAATTCGGGCCCAGAGATGTTAAGTCACGTCTCCAAGGTAACAGAGCGAGTTGGCAGCATTGTCAGAATAGGAGGATCCCAAAGGTGGACAAGATCCAGCTAACTTCCAAACACTACGCTGTTTGGGGGCCGACTCAGGGACAAGCTGCTCAGGCAGGAGTCTAAGGACGAGCGAGAATTTGCCTCGAGCTGCACAAGGAGCTCCTGCATGGAGTGTGGTAAAACTTCGGGAGGGCGGGGGATGGAGGGGCCCTGGAGGGAAGCGATGAAGCAGACATCGGGGTAAAGGGTCAGGCGAGGCTTACCTGCCAAGATCCCCGGAGGGCAGCTAACGGGAGATGACATGATCTGCTTGTGCTCATGCCTACTCTGGAGTGGTCTCCATTGCCCCCCAACCACTCAAGGTGATCTCTCTCCTCAAGGCACTCTCCCCCAAACAGACTTGGTGTTACAATGCATTCTATGTGAAGTGGATTTTACCACCAGCCACTGGGGAGACAGAGAACAGGGTCGACGCCATACAACACATGGAAAAACTTTGTAAAAACAAACAAACAAAAACCCTTTGAGCATCTCTGTTCTTTCCCCAAAGTTTCTCCTGGACCAGGTGCCTCAGTTCCTCCCCCTCTCTCTTTTTTTCTCCCACCACAGCCTCTAAAAGCCCCTCTGTTACTCTGAATGATCCCATCCCTGCCCTTGGCTTTCAAGGCCTGTGCAGTCATTCAAAAGCTCCAGACGTTCTTCTGGGTCCAAACAAATTAGTGGCTGAGAGTTGTTAATGAACACGGTCAATGTCACAATATGACAAGAATATGCATGTGAACAGGGAAATGGCACACATGTGGGGACACAGACAGACACACACACACACACACACACACACACACCAGGTTTTTAGGCACTGAAAGGCAGATTTTGTCGCAAGCCTGAGTTTCTTTGCTAGCCATTTCCGTCTGACTGAAATAAACACTGTGGATAATATATTGTCCTATTTGCTTCAACCCTTAAGTACTGAGCAACAGAGAAATTCCAAAGAAACCCAGATGTACTTCACATGGCCTGGGAAGACGCACTAGCACGTTCAGACTTCCAGCAGACCACATGCTTCCTCGTTCCCTTCTTGCTGGGGTCAGGTCCTGCTCTGTCAAAATGACTCAGAAAGGGTCTCCCTCTGCATCGCTTCCACCCAGTGATCACAGGGTTCGGGGGAAGGCGGTGGGGGGGGCACTCCCAACGAATTCAAAGAGTCCAAAATAGAAGGGAAGGGTGCGGCTCCATGATGTCAGGAATCAGTTCCTAAGCTTCCCTTCTAAGTTCTGACTTCTGGGTTAGGCCTCCTTAGCAGGAGCCGCCACCCAGGAGAGGGGTAGAAGAGACCCAGACCAAAGCTACATAAAAAGATGCAGGCTGACACCCTGGCTAAAGAGGCCACAACAGCACCAGGTAAATGATGGGCAAAAAATGAGTTTTGTTTTGACCATGCGAGATCTCCTTGGCTGTAGTCACATAAGCATTGCCAGCTTTGGAAAACTATAGACCAACTATTTCGAAAGCTAACCAGATGTTGGGCCAATTTCCAACGTACTTCTAGTTCTGATTATGTGTCAGTCGAGATCCAAAATGATGGTTTGCCAGCTCTCTGCACGGCGAAAGCCTCCTTTTATCCTATTACCTTTCAACCTTTCCCATACCTCTCATCTGTGTTCCAGTAACTTCTCAGAAAACAAAACAAAACCCAAAAAGCCCGAGATTCCTCTTGGGTAAACAATGATAAATGGATGGGGCAAGAGGGTGGTGGGTGGAGTGGGGGAACCTTTAAGAATACAAAAGCTGCAGAACCCACCCCCCCCCTCCCTTGGGCCAGGCCTCTGTAGACTTGACAAAGGAGAGAAGGCTGCATTTGCTATTACAGATATGAACCAGAATTCATTATGTGGCCCAATTGAATCACAACGAGTGCCTTCCTCCAACTGGTCAACCCTTTCCACAGTGGGATATTCATTTCGGTGCAGCATCTAATCTATTATGATTTACTGGAAGGCCTGAGCTAACATTTGGTTTTTATTAACATTGCTTTTATGTTAAAATTGTCTTATGATGAAAAATCTATCGGAAAGAGACCATTTCATTAGGGGCCCTGCTTGGAGGGTAGAGATCTAGGGAAGAGAGGCTGAAGTGCAGCTAATTGCCTGCTGCCTAACCAAAAAGCCAACTGACCAACCACCACCACCACCAAAAGACCCCCACCAAATACAGAACCTGTGCCCACAGGCCAGGACTGGAGCACAAACCAAAAAGCAGCTTCTTGCTAGGCAGTCTCCTTTGGGGTCCCCTGGGCAGCTGGGCCCCAGGTGGCAAACCTGAAGCCTCCAGCTTCCTCTCCAAACCTGCTCCATGGCCCATGCTCGCTGGTTCTGGAAATGACACCACCAGCACACAGTAGCAGGGTCAGGGATCTGGGCATCATCCAGACTCCTCCCTTGGGTGCCCTCTCCCATCCAAACCAAGCAGGACTCCCCTTCCCCAGCCCTGCTCCTCTCCTTGTCTCCCCATCTTCGAAAATGGCCCCACACAGTTGCCCAAGTGTCCCCTTCACTCTCTTGCCACATCCATCAGCTTATCCTGGCCTTAGGTCCAAAACATATCATAAATCCTTCTAGTTTTCTCCAGCTCTACGGCCAACATGCTGATTGAACCCACATTATCCCTTGCCGGGACTACTGCAACGGCTTCCTACTGGGCCTCCCACTTTCCCTCTTGCAACTCTCTCCCCCATTCCCTTCATCTATTCTCCATCCAGTAGCCAGACTGCTTCTCCAAAAATGTCCATCTGACCATGTCACTCTTTATTTAAAAAGACTTCAGGGTTTCCTGGACGCCAGAGAGGCTCAACCAGTTAAGCATCCAACTCCTGATTTCGGCTCAGGTCATGATCTCAGGGTTCTGGGATCGAGCCCCGTGTCTGGCTCCACACTC